GCACCGCCACTGTTAAAGCGTCAAATAGAGAAGAAGAAGAAGAAGAAGAAGAAGAAGAAGAAATAGAATTAATTTGATCCCATATCTAATTCCCTTAGTATAATGAATACGATGAATGAAAAACTGCAAATCTCCCAAATAAAGGTAGATGTCAATCACATCTGATACTGAGTGTCTAATTTTGAGTGCTACCTCCACCTATTTTCTTGAACTCCCATTCATGAGGGGTCCAAATTATCAAAGTCAAGTACGTGATGGCCAGAAAGTGTGTGGCACGTATAAACGTTAAATCGCTGCAAAGTTAGCTCTCGAGTCCATGCCGGCCGTCCATCAACTTGGCATTTTTGCTGAATTTTGGAAAAAAATCCGTTTAAAAGAGGGTTTTGTGGGTGCTGCAAATTCCCTCTCACTACACCTCGAGCCACCGCAGTTGCCATGGACAGTAGTCATCCTGTCAAACTGTCGGTCGCCCTCTGTTTCAGTTTCCTCAAAAATACTTAGCTCGAGACTTCCAAGAAAAATTTAGGTCGGTCATGACATGTTTGACTACGATAAGTTGACTCTAAATTTGTTCTTTAATTACAGCTCCCATGCTCCCATGCGTGAGTGTAGGGATGATAATCTACGAGTGAAATAGTTTATAGTGAAAATAAGCTTTATCACTTTATCTCCCACGCTCTTTCCTCCCTTAGTTCCTGAGCCCAGTGTTCTGACAGAACCAAGAATGTCGGGTTGCTCCACCAAGAAGTATAGTATTGCATTGACCTGATGATAAGTAAGCGAAATGAAAGATTCATTCAGCTCAAAATGTGTCTTAAGCGTATAATTGTATTTACTGCCTGCTTTTATTACCAATTTCTCCTTAATCGTCTTGGTTTCTAAAGAAAACCTGAATTATTCGAAAAGTAAACCAAACCGTGTCATGGGATCCTCTAGCTGATTAACAAATGTCGCGCTGGATTTAGACTTATCTTATTCACAAGACATTTTTCAGTTTTCAAAAAGCGCCCCTTTTAGATTCCTCAAAAAGTAGTGCTTTAACCTTGCGTAAATCTACTATAACAACATTTTTGGTCTGCTTTGAAAGTTAATATGAATATGTGAGCTAAAATATATCAGCCACTATGAAATAACCGCGTAATTTACGAACTGGAGTTCATATTATCAGAGGGCCGGGGGATCTGTGGCAGTCCGCGATCAGCTCCACTACAGCTGACTTACTTTTTATTCGCCTGCCAAGTCTTGCAATCGCGCGTGACAGTCTCTCTGTCCCGCCCCTGGTCGATCTGCTGCGAGACTTCCCGCACGCTCTGGGTCGGTTTTGGGCCAAGCAGTGTGCACCATTTCAGTGATTGGCTGTGGGCAATGGAGGACATGTCCCGGGGTCCTGTAATTCCGCGCATGGACAAACGAAAACTGGCCTGAGGAGATTGCGAGTAACACCTGCCCTTGTAAAGTTCTTTCTCACAGCAAACACGGCCCAAACTTGTCAGTTTTCCTCGACTTCTGATTTGAAAAACACTCTGTTGCCGACATCGCCATCTCTCGCAAGCCCCACTGATGAGCCGAATCCCTTGTGTCTGCGTCATATAATGGCACAAGCTACGCGCCTAACGCGTGTCTCGGCTTTTAGCCAGTACCCAGGCTGTCTATGTGGCAATTCAATCAGTCCCCCTTCCTTTCCTTAATTGCTAACTCGCATGGCAAATCACCATCGTAAGCGTTACCCTATAGCTTGCAGCAGAGAAGTGATATTTGGCTATTCAATCCTGAAGGTCGTCGAGTGCATACAAATTTATTCACCACTTAAGGAACTTGCCTGTGTGATAACCATGGCGACAGCACAGACGGCGATGATTTCCACTCACTTTCTGTGTGCTTGCTCGGACAGTAGGCATCTGCACGCCCACATGAGCACATGGCACTGAGAGGACGCGCATACTAGACGCATTCATTCGCACATTCCTGTCCACAGGTGCAAGGGTGGTAGCGCCGTCTACGGCGG